TCTCTTTTGTTCATTCATCTTTTACTTGATCCTCTTCTTCCTATGCTAGAATTCTCATCTGACTTAAAGGACAATGATAAAATCAAATTAAAATCAAAACCAATTCTAAATGTGTTCTCTCATCTTTAAATTCAGATTTACAGGAAATTACCACACCCTTTCCCATTCAAATTATATGTATTTTTCCTTTTCATACTATATTTAACAATTCCTTGTACAGAAGATAAATCGTATTTTCTTTCAGTGTGGCACTTTTCTGGGAACACTCATTTTCTTATCTATAGCAATCCAGTAATGGTATATTTTTTAAAGAAATCACTATATAAGTTATAGGTTAGTTCTGTCAGAACCAAAGTTCTAAGAGGTCAAAGAAAAAGAAAGTCAAATTGCAATTTGGGAAATAATTATTCTAAAATATGACTCACCTAAATGCATTTTAGACTATATGCAACATGAAGAAGGCCATAAAGATTAAAGTTGGTTTCTAGACTCTAAATATTGTAAATTGTTTTAAATATATCCCCCCAGTTTCCTAAATCTAATTATAAGTATCAAAAATATCTTATACATGTCTTAAGACTATCTTCTCTAACTATAACTTTATCATTAATATTAAACAGCATACACAAGAATTGTTTTTAAACAAATATATTTGAGAAATTTAACCCAAATAACACTACAAATTATGCTTTTCTCTGTGACCTTTCAAATAAAGTGGGATTTTGAAAATCACCCTAAGTTTATGCATCGTCCTCAACCAGTCTTTCAAATGATTGATATTTTATGATTTGAATATCTCACTATGCCTAGGGCCAAGAAGCATTGCCAAGGCCCAGATTCCATATGGATTTTCTGTGCATCAGAGGTTTTAGCATAGGACTTGACCTTATTCTGTGCTTTCTCACTTGATAATGCATCTCAGACCAATTCTATACCTTCAGAGAAACAGAAACTAAGTCTTCCGAGAGTATAGAATCAGACTACCCAATGCTCCTCTTCTAATTGGACACAGTTTTCTGAGGAAATTCAGTGATTGCTGGGTATTGTTGGAATGTTTCCCTTCCAAAGGGAAATTCTACTCCAAGGACCACACTTAGAGATATGCCAGTGTTTTTCTACCTATTGAAAAGTACTGATTTTTCCCCATGTTTCCTTCAATACTATTTGTTGCTTCAAAGTATTACTATGATCAAAATATTTTGACTCTTTTTGCTATTTAGTTTACAAACTTTAGAGTACTTTTGAGATATTTGCCGTGTGACAAACTATTATTCACAGATATCTGGTTTAGTGGTGATTATTTTAACAATATTTCTCTATTTTCTGATAATATTCATTTTTTGTAATGTATGAAGAAAGTGGAAAAGTTACCTATTCACATTATTTACTAGATTAATATAGAAGTGGTACAAATATATTTTGATTTCTTTATTCAATCACTGGACATAACTCTGGGGCAAAAGTGATATCTATATTAGTCCTAAACACAATTTCAGTATGTAGCATATCAAACCCAGTAATACCAGATATTGAACAAGTATCACAAATATAAACGAATAGTGAAAATATTGCTCCTGAAGCAATCGCTTATTTGAAATTATTAGGTTATGTTAACCTAAAAAATAAGGATCCTCTTTATTTCTGTTGAAGAATAAAAGAAGATGTGAATGGAAAAATATAGAATGTCTGTCCTCAGTTTCCATTGTTCTACTTTAAAAATTAACACAAATTGCATTATTATTTTTTCCTATCACATTGTTTTTGTTTTTGTTTGTTTGTTTGTTTCTTATCCTGGGTATTGAAGCCAGAAATTCTTTACTACTGAACCTCATCCCCAGCCCTTTTTCCTTTTTATTTTATTTTTTTTCTATTTTGAGACAGGGTCTCACTAAGTTGCTTAAGGTCTCACTTCATTGCTGAGAAAGACCTCAAATTTGTGATCCTCCTGCCTCAGCCTTCTGAGTCCCTGTGATTACAGGTGTGCGCCACCACTTCCAGCTTCCAACATGCTTTTTTCCCCCCTCTTTTTTATACTTTTGTCAATTCAGTTTTACTATTCTTAAGTTTTGATTTTCCTTATATACAACTAAAGAGAAATATTTCTAGATTATCATAACCTATCTTCAATTATTTGTAAATGCAATGTAATGCAGACACTGATAATAAATTTGTTTTCTGAAATAAGAAATTTCATGTTTGTCATATTATCTAACGTACATCAATGGGAATGTTGTGAGTCCTTTGATTGGCTTCTCAGTTTTATATGCTCTTGTAACTTGATCAGGTCAAACATACTTACTAATTTTCACCAATAGTTGTACTTATAACTGAAAAAGAAGAGAAGTTTCTTAACTTTGACTTCTAATGATGCAAATGGTAAGTTAGATAAGAAGATGCAGGATCAGATTCTGAGGAATCTCTAGTCTACAATTATTAGAGTTTTATATTTTTAATTACATTGTAACCCCAGGTATTCTATCTAGCTAATACAAATTAAAAGCAAAAATCATTGCTTTACAAATAATGTGGCAGAACTGTCAAACCTATGTTCAAAGCATCAAATTGCATTGACAATTGATGAAGGTACTTTCTTGGGTCACACTGGTATGAAAAAGGCCCACAGTATACAGCACAGTGAAGAAGAAGGTTACATTTGTCATTAAAAGGAACTTTTTGTCACATTGTGCTTTGTTTGGTTTTACTTACTAAGATAAATGCTATAAATTGATCAGAATGATTTTCACAGAAAAAAATAAATCGCCAATATGTCCCCTTCTGTTAAAAAATTAAGTACATGTGTCTATTTCATTTTTTCTTAGTACCCCAAGAATTGTTTGAAATATGCTTGATATACCTCCTAATGTCATTCATTGAGGTACTGAAATGGTAATATTTTCAATTGTTGCTTCTTTTTTATTCTATTAAAATACTTTAATACCACTTCTGTGGAGTTTAATGCAATGGTTAAAATACAGAGATGTAGTTAAACAATAGACTGTTCTGAAAACTTGTGCTTTCTGACAATATTTCCCCCCATGATTGGTTTCTTTGAGCTCTTACAATTGGTTGATGGCAGTTCTGCACCAGAGTGTTTTGGCAAGTGTTCATTGACTTTTGACAGTCTGTGGGAATTCAAATAGAAAAGGGGCATTTTATAATCCATAAGAATGGCTTCGCTGTGCTATTTTATGGGAGGAGTGGTTTATAGCATGAGGATGCAGTTTTTCCCCTGTTGGTCATCCATGTGTTTCTTCATTTTCCAGATTTTACCCAATCTGCACTTCTTACTAGGACAATGCATCCTTTTAAATCAATAATAAACAAAGCTCAAATAAAGAATGCTGAATCAGGCCCATTAACACCAGTACTAATTATGCAGAGAATACACAATACTGTTTACAGTAGACCTTTCCAAAGGCAACCATAATATTAAAAGTGCAGAATCTATTTCAGAAGTAGGCAAGTCTCCATAAAAATTTTATTTATCTTGAAAGGCAAATGCTTATTCATTGCATACAATTGAAAGACATGGTTACTCCTCTCCCTAAACATCATTATATATTTAGATGACTAATAATTCTTAATTGTGTCAGTAAAGTCAGTGACAGGATTGGATCTGCAGAGATAAAAATTCAAGCACTTGATGTACACTGCACAGTAGGAAAATTCACAGGGTACAGTGTGAAGAGATGTGAGATAGGGAAAAGAGCTTGAGATTTATCATTGAAATTATCTGAGTGCTAAAAGAAAGTCTCTGTCTCTCTAGACCTTCTTAATTTTCAGTACTTGTAATGCCTCCGATGCCTTGAAGTAGTTTTCCATACGCCTGTTTGTTTATTTCAGTTTTGTGATTGTATGTTTGTGTGCGTGTTTGCCTGCATGTAGTTTTCCTGGGAGCAGCAGGCTCTTTGGTGTATGTGTGCATATGTATGAGTGTGAATTAATTACACATTTAAAACATCTGCATCAGTGGCGGCGTCTGCAGTCCTCCCTCGCGGCTCCAGTCAATCGGGATGTTGAGCTCCATCACTTGGTGTTAGGACCACTCGGAAGACCAGCCTGTCGGACGCCTGATGGTGGTTCCCGGGGGGTCGGAGCTCCGGGAGCCTGTACCATCTCTATCTGAAGGGGAGGAGAGAAGGAAAAGAGAACGAATCCAAGCGAGGGGCTTCTCCTTCCTGCAGCTGGGTTGAGGGGGCAGCCAGGTTTGGAGCAGGGTTCTAAGATTACACTGTAAATCTCCAACTTCAGCACCGCGGACAGCACCACCTCCCGCCCGGGGCGAGGCGCGCGCCTGCTTCCTTGGCCCCCGCCCCAGCTGATGGACCGGGGCCGGTGGGTTCCTTCTCCCTTTTGCTTCCAAACGAGGCGAGGGCAGGGCCGAAAGGTTCTAACAGCCAGAGGGGTACGGTAAGGAGGAGAAGGAGGAGACTAGGAGGAGGAGGAGAAGGAGAAGGAGGAGAAGGAGGAGGAGGGGGAGGAGGAGGAGGGAGGAGGAGGAGGAGCCCGGGAGGGGACCGAGCACGGAAGGGAAGGGAGGGCTTCCCTGCGCCGCTCGCCGGGGTTTGCAGGCGCTGCTGGTGGCGGCGTCTCCAGCTCTCTGGCGGCGGCGGCGGCTGCTCTCGCTCCAGCGGCCAGGAGATGCTTCCCCGCGCCGCGCCGCGCTGAGGCCGTGCGTGCGCCGCCGGCTGCGCTGCGCGCTCCGCACATACACAACCTCTCCATGTGAGCTGACAGGCGATTGGAAACCCCTCTGAGTCACGCTGCCCAGTGGCGAAGGGAGCGCTCGCCCGCAGTGGCAACAGCAGCGCCGCCGTCCCCGTCGCTCTCCTTTTCTCTTCTGCAGCCTCCGTTCCTCTGATTTTCCCCCACGTCTTTGACGATTTTTTTTCGAGAAGGAGAGGGCGGGGTAGGTGTCAGTCCCCTCCTCTCTCTCCCCCCTCCTTTTCCTTCTTGGTTTGAATTTCTTCCCCCCGGCATTTCACTGGCTCACGGAGCTGGAGACTAGACCCGCTCGGAGGGAAGAGGAAGGCTGAGTCTCCCCTGCTGTTCCAGACCCAGAAGAACTGGAGCCTGGAGGGGGTGAGGGGAGAAGAAGGACCAGCGGGAGGGACTTGGCTTTCTCTCGCATTTGAGGACAGCCCATCTCCCTTCGAGAACCCCGCGGAGAGACGGACTGCATCTCCGCCGCAAGCTTTTGGAGTACCGCTGCCCAGAAGGCGAAGGATGGTGGTGGCTCCCAGAGCCCGCTGCAGAGCAGCGCTTTCTCTGTGGATTGTCAGCAGCTTCATCTGCAGAGCCTGGACGGCTCCCTCCACGTCCCGTAAGTAGTCCTCCCCGCCAGCTAGCTGGGTACTGAAGCAGTTTCAGTGCCGCATTGATGTTCACCACCAGGGTATCAACTGTGAGGTGCTTTCGCAGTTCTCGCCCCCAGATTTGTGTGTATCCCTGCTGTCACGCACTTGAGCCATTGCAGCAGAGAAACTCCAAACCAGCGCGCTCCTGGTTTGGGGGAGAGGGTTTTGACGTTGATGATGTTTCTGGAAAGTTGTTCCTGGTCTTGGAGATTGCTTGGCAACTGCTTGGTTAAGGCAATCAGTGTACAGGGGAAGGGAGTGAGTTGTGCAGATGGAGCTCATTGCATTTTACTAGATAAGTCAGTTAGTGAAAAGTGAAGACCATGCGAAAATAAGTTTTTGTTTTTATTTATGATTTTAACTTAAATGAGCACGGTTTGGGAGATGAAAGAGGCGCATATTTTGAACAGTTTGGACACCTATAGGTTCCCGTTAACCTCCTCTGTCCCCTTAAAATGTGAATGCCCGTTTAGTACTTGCTTATTAAAATGAAAGACAGTAAATCCTATATATCAACTGAAATTGCTTTGATTCTTTGGTAGTTTGAAGTAATGGATAAGAGCTGTGCAGTCCAGGACTTGGGACAGTCACTGGAAAACCTCGTTAGTGTAATAACGAAGAGTTTCAGGAAAATTATGCTGCTTAAATGTGTATCTCTCCATTTTTTGCTACCCCCCCCCCCCTTTTAAGACTATTCATGTTTTCATGAGGTTTAGAAGAAATGGAAGATTCCAGCCCATTTTCTGCATTTCTGAAATGCATAGTGAGCATGTCAAGAGGAAATGCATGATTGCTTCTATGGCTCAGAAAGGGTTAAGAGCTAGAAAGATTGCTGGACTTAGGATAGTACTCACAGGCACATACTTGTTTCTCAGAATAAATAAGTTGATAAAGAATCATCATGGAGACTTTGGAGTTTAAAAAGAGCTGTATTCCATTTAGGGACAATAAGTTTAGTATCTTCCAGAACTTACCATATGTGAAGTAGATTTGAAGATGTAGTGATGAAACTTGGTCTATTACTAATATTGATAATTTTATTCAGTGTGTAAATATCAATAAGCATAGCATTGAAAAGGGACTTTACAAACTGTTGTTAAGAATCTTTTACATAATACCATATTATTATAAATATTAGACACATTTTCCATGCTACTACATTAAAGAAAAGTAACGTAATTTTCTTGCAAAGTTTAAAGATGTAGATGTAATGAAATGGAAATACAAGTTTTAATGAACCTGAAAAAAATCTATATGATTTTTTCAGATCACAAATTAAACCTCAAAAAGTTATATATTTTTAATATTTATGTCAACTTTATAGATTTAAAAAGAAACTGTAAAGATATCTTGCTAAATATTGATATTTGTGCAAATATATAACTGGATTCTTCAGAAACAATTTTGATGAAATTTCAGTTTTCATTTCAAAGTCTTGTTATACAGAACTCGCTGCCACTTTTTCAGGAAAATAAACTCATTATAAATTAAATTTATCATATTCACTGATTGAAGCTCCTGTCAAGAGTTTTTCCAGAATTCTAAGTTTCATCTTTCTATATACTTTAACTACAAGGGTTCAATCTGAACCACTCACTATTTATCAAGAATGGCATAAATGCAGCTATTGGGCTAATATATTTCAAAGATAGGAAAGTTGTTATTTTAGAAATATATACTAAGTTTTTACTAATCAGAATTTGGTGCAAGGGAACAACATAGAGACCGTTACATCTATGATAAATAGTTATTTGTTATTCTTGATTATTAAAATTTAGTAATATTATTTTCCATTGTTTAAAAATATATAATAGCTGGATTTTAATTTCTTTTGAATTTAAAACATGTGTCCAAAACTTAAAATTGCCTTATGTCCTGGAAATGAATCAATGATATAGGAGTTTACAATTAGAATGAGCTTCATGTATTCAATACTTTAAATTTAATTGTATTTTTATATTAATGAAAGTATTAAATTTTGTTCTATGTAGCTCTGAAGGAGAGTACGAAAATTATATTCTTAATACTAAAAACACTCAAAGGAGGAGAAAAATGGTAACTACATGAATCTGAGATAATGAACAACTCAACCAGGAGAGGTCATCACAAGACAAAAAGTAGCTTGAAAAGCTAAAAGTAACATTTTTATTTATTTATTTTATTAAAAATATGATGACTATGCTAAAACTTCCTGTTTCCAAATTACTTTTTAATATGATGGACAATTTTTGAAGATACAATTAATATTTTTTCATTCCATAACAAATAAATTTCAAATACATAGTTGCTCGTGGCTTGTTTCTTTTTCTCTGTTCTGAAAATGTATATAAATACTGTTAATACTATGTTTTGTATGAGTACACTAAAATAAATTCAAGAGAACTCACCTCTTGAATTAAAGAAAAATCTAATCTAATTTCTTTGTGATGGGGAGAATGATCTGTTACTGAGCCTATGGAATCATGTACCTTCCTTTCTTGCAAATGTGTGCCCAAGGCACACAGGGGAGGCTTCAAGGAAATGGTCTAGTCTTAGAGAGTTGCACTTACTTGATCACATTAGAAAGACCCTGACAGGTGCAGCTTTACATGATGAGGGCTTTGAGCTAGCACTTAATGAATTCAGTTCTTAAATATAACTAAATTATTACTGAAGTTTTACTTAAAATTTTAAGTGTTCTCTGAAAAGACCAATCATTTACATTATATTTTGTACAGCAGTGAATTTATAATTTCATTGACTTTCTTATTTAGGAGGTGTGCTTTCCATCAATTCAAATGATCTGTAAAAAATATGCTTTTTATATAGACATAAAGTGTATGCAAAATGTATATGTATATATAAATATATATGTATGCAAAATATTTATATATATTACATACATAAATATATATGGTAAAATTATCATATAGATGTATATTGCTTCGTATAGGATATATATGGAATATTTATTGCATAAAATATTATATATTTATTTATTTTCCCACATGTCAGTCAAGGTGTTTAACTTGCTTACAATTTATATATTGGTCTTTTCAAGTATAATATGTTAGTCAATTTTTTCTCTCTTCTATTCATATATTTCCCTCAAAATATTATATTTTAAATATAAAATATGTAAATGAATAACAAAAAAGTTTATATTGAGTTTGAATGTAGTCATGAGTTTGTCTTAACAAAAAATAATTTAAATTTAAAAAATGCTTTAAGTCAACAAAGCTCATTGGTTGAGAAATTGTAATAAAATTTTTTATTAATGCAAAAAAATAAGAAAATCATGATGAACTTACTGGAGATAATAATAATAATAAATGACCTTGGTTTTATTATAGGAACTGATATTCAGAAAATAGTTGGTTTTATTATAGGAACTGATATTCAGAAAATAGTAATCTTTGTTCAAATTTTACTCCAGTACCACCAAAGTATGACAAAATTAAGTAAAAAAAAAATCCATGCTTTTAATATAGGTTTTTATTAACCTTTGCTCATTAATATGTATAAAATCTACCATTTTTAGTTGAGAGCAGCAAAGTTATTTAATATACATCATAATTTAAAACTCACATTTCTAATGTATTTTTTTTCAACTGGCAAAACTTTCAAGTTCTATAAATTCTCTGAAATTTGAATTTGCTTATACAGATTTTTAAATTACTAGAGAAAAACTTAACAAATTTCTAAATCTTGTTTGATATATCTTTTCTATGACTGAAAGATAAAATGACTGTCATAGGCCTGCTCTTGTCTTGCTTTTCTAATTTTCAAGTAGATACTCAAATTTTTGTAAAAAATATGCAGAGGTTCAAAACTGTTAATTAAAATCCAGTTTTTAATTTTCTTAAAAATATTAGCCATATAGAAACCAACTTGCTCTTGTTGCCTGTGTAGTAACGGACGTCCATATGATGAGGGAAAAAGACACATACTTCCATGATTTTCCCATGTCAAGCCTCAATTTGAGAAGTGCTTTACCTTATCGTTTTTTGCTACTTGCGAAGTTCAACAGCATATGCCAGGTTTTAAACTCAAAGCTATAGCATTACGGAAAATATAGTCAATTCTATATTTATATCTATATTATTACCTGAAATTGGATGCTTTGAGTGTTTCCAGAGGGATACGTATCTTAAGATTGGAGACTTTGGAGATTGGGATACATATTTTAAACTTGGGGATTTGATGTTGGAAGAAATTGTATGTCTACTTTTGCTCTTTAAAAAAAAATGTGAATGGCTTAATTGAGATACAATTAATATATAATAAACTATATATATATATATATTTAAAGAATTCACTTGATAAGTTTTTTTCTTTCTATTTGTTCCTTTTTGTTATACAAAACATTAGGATTCATTTTGACATGATTATAAAAGCACAGAATATAATTTGCTCTAATTCAGTCCCCAGTATTTCCCCATTACCTTTACCTTTCCTCTGTTCTCTTCCCTCTACACTATGGATCTTCTGTTTTCTTATAGTTTTTTTTTTTTTTTTTAAAATTAGTGTCTTGTGCATACACATGATGATGGTGGGGTTTATTGTGGTGTATTCACATATGTACATAGGAAAGTCAGGTTAGATTCCTTCTATTGTTCTTTCCTTATCCTAACCCCTCTTTCTTCCCTCTCAGTCCCCTTTATCTGCTCCCCTGATCTCTCATCTATTTTGATGGATTTTGCTCCTCTCCCCCTCCCCGCCCCCTCTCTCTCTTTCCCTCTTTCCTGCCTCTCCCTCCAAGAAGACTATCTGGCTTGTTTCACTTAGCCTGATAGTTTCCAGTTCCATTCATGTATAGCCAAATGCCATGATTTCATTAGTCTTTTAATATGTAAAACTAATACTGAAATAATCTTGATATTGCCCTTAACATTTTTAACAAAAATCTTAAGACTACTTCTAACAGAATGATTAGTTAATACACTAGATTCTGGGATCTCTACAACCTGGGTGATTTAATTCTTGA